AAAAAAAAAAAAAAAAAAAAAAAAAAAAAAAAAAATAATGGGTTTTATGGCTTCAAATAGATTTTGCTTTCTTGAAATTTTCTTCTTTACTCCAGAATGATGTAAACTTCCAGTTATGCTTGCTTAGTATTACATCATTCCTTGTCATGGCATTATATACATTGACCTGACTTGGAACATTACTGGAAACTTCTGTTTTTCTGGTATCTTATAATTTGCAGTGTCATGTAGAGGACTCATATCCTAAGAGATGAGGATTAAGGTTTGACAGCATGTCTCTGAGATCCTTTGACAAATTAATGATCTTGGTACACATTGTTGAACCTCTCTCTCCATGAAGAAATAACTAGTGCTGATTCCATATTGGGTTCCCTTCTACCTGGTTATTATGGGAAACATTAGTGCTGACTAGACTTTCATGGTCTTGGCACAATTCCTACCCTTCTCTTCTTACACAGATAGCAAAACAGTATATATCTATACTTTATACACATGTACTTAACCAAAGAAACAGCGTATCCCCATATAGATTCTCCTACTTTCTCAAATTATTTTTAAAGCTAGTCATAGTTTATTTACTCTTCTTTTATACACCACCTTTTCATATATTTTTAGTTTAACTCTTCTTTTTTTATGCTCTTGACAGAAATCTGTTATCTTGAGAAGTTTGACTATACATATCCTTAAATACAATTTGCCACTTAAGTTGGCTTAGTAAATCCTTTCCATATATTAACATGCTATATGAGTAAATGTAAATTTATGTCAGAATTTCATCCTGGGAATGTGCTTTGCTCCTATGAGTTACATTTGGGTATGTGGCTTGGAAGAGTGTTGTCTGTGAAAATCAAATAATTCAGAGCATTATTGCCTTTTGTAGTTTTCTCGTTTAATATTTCTGAACTCCCAAACGAGCTCTATAATCAGCAGAGGAGGAGATGTGGGTACCACAAGGATGATGTACTAGACAGGGCCAAATCATTCAGCAGCCTGTGAAACCTCTTCAGAGCTGATTGTAGGAAACCTCATAAAGTTCCTTGTCTACTTGTGAAATTACTGTTGCCTTGGTTAAATGAGAAAACAACTTTTAATTTTTATTATAAGATAGGACTTCCCTGGTGACACAGTGGTTAAAAATCCGCCTGCCAATGCAGGGGACACAGGCTCGATCCCTGGTATGGGAAGATCCCACATGCTGTGGAGCAACTAAGCCCATGTGCCACAACTACTGAGCCCACGAGCCACAACTACTGAAGCCCGCGTGCCTAGAGCCCATGCTCCTCAGCAAGAGAAGCCACTGCAATGCGAAGCCTGCACACTGCAACGATAGCCCTTGCTCACTGCAACTACAGAAAGCCCATGTGCAGCAGTGAAGACCCAACACAGCCAAAAATAAATAATATATATAAATAAAATAAATAAAATTTTTAAAAAGTTTAATTTTTATTATAAGAAAAATAGCCTATAATTTGAAGAGAATAAGCACTTTAAAATAGAGGAAGCATCAGGGGAATGTGTCACCAAGCATCAGGGGAATGTGTCACTGTGTCTTTACCCCACTATCAGCAATGATAGTTTAATTAAAAACCTCTTTCTGCTTCAGAGTCTCTCTTATCTGTTTGTGGTTTGAGATTACTGCATCGTCGGCAGAAGCGGATCATTGGTGGGAAAAATTCTTTAAGGTAAAAGGTTCTTCAAATACAGATTACACTGATAATTTCACTGTCCTTTGACTTATATTTACTTTATATAGACCATGTTCTTCAAATCACTATCCCCTGATTTATGAGATAGATGGGTTGCTGAAAAGTTATGTGGCAGAAACAAACTAATTTAACAGGAAATCTGAAAAAAATGTATAACTACAAATTCGTTTCATTTAGAATATATTTGTTTTGGACTTGACTCATTTTAATATAATTTTTTTATTTGTTGAATTTACTAGTGGAAAACCGGTGCTTTGCTTATTAAATACTTCTTCTGGGGAATTCCCTGGCGGTCCAGTGGTTAGGACTCGGTGTTTTCTCTGCCGTGGCCTGGGTTCAATCCCTGGTCGGGGAACTAAGATCCCACAAGCCAAAACAAAAAAAAACTTCTTCAGGCTGCTTAGGTGAGGGAGAAAATATGCTTCAAATCATGAAATATAAAGAAGACACAGATTGTTTCCAAGAACGTCAGAATTTGGTGGGATGCATACACATGCTATAGGCAAGTCTTCAGTGTGGTCTGCTCAAAGTTGTAAGAATATTCATGCTCAAAGTAGGAAGGGAGTCTACATCCTAGAGTCCCCTTTTTACTTCTTTCCTCCCACCTACAAGCCTTCTAAGTCCTTGTTTTGCTGGATGACTGTCCTTACTTTTTGGCCTTTTATGGATATTGATGAGTGGCTTACTTTCTTCTTAGGGGTGGTTGGCCTTGGCAAGTGTCCCTCCGGCTCAAGTCATCCCATGGAGATGGCAGACTCCTTTGCGGGGCCACACTCCTGAGTAGCTGCTGGGTCCTTACAGCAGCGCACTGCTTCAAGAGGTATGTGTCCACCTTCCCAAACAACTCAGTTTGGCTCCTATTTGCCAGTTCTTCCAATCCCTTCCTGTTCTACAGCATGCTAGAAACTTGGGGTGTCAGAGCCAGGCTATAGGCCTTCCTTGTCTCTACCAGCGGCACTGTGGAAGTGAGGGGGTAACATCAGGAGCAAAGAGAGCTCTCAGGAAGCTACTTGCTACCTGGTGTTAAACTCTGGAGTTAAGGAGAAGCCAAGATCGGTTTTTGAAGGGGAGGCAGCTGTGTTTGTGCTTCCCCCAAGAACATATCTGAGGATGAAATCATATCCCCATATTGCTAGAAGAGACCTCAGATTATTTGATTATGAATGGTAAGGAATAGGGAGTCCAGGTTTAGTGTTTTGATTTGGTGTTTTGATTTGAATTTTAGAACCTTTGGGTCTTCTTGGTGTTCTGTGTCTTTTAGATTTCTCTATTTGTACCTGTCAGGTTGCATCCTGATTATTTCCGTTTGTCCCAGTAATTTTATCAGCCCAATCTGAAGTTTTCCCAGTTCAGAGGGGAAGCCCTGCAGAGAGATTCAGTGTGCCAGAGTCACACTGCTTATGGTGACAGCACCTGCACCTAGTGGTTCTTTCTCCTTGTCCTGTGCTCTTTTGTGGGCCCTGGCTAATGGCCATTTCCTCAGCATAAATTTTAGTATTTAAAAATGTATACCATTGCTTAGCAAATATTGATAGTTATTGAATCAAGGTGATGAGTACAAGGGGTTTCACTATTCTGTGTACTTAAAAATACTCATAAAATGTTTTAAGTAAAACATGTACCATAGTGTTGAAAAGTTGTTACAACCAAAAATTTGTTTTGTATTTTTTCATATGTGAAAATATATGGCTTCATTGTGTATTTACAATCCATCCATGTAGATTTTAACTGCCATATGAGTGTTAACTCCTATTGTAAGATGAAACCAACCTCAGTTTACTTATTCTCCTACTGGTGGAAGGTTAGGTGGTTTCCATTCTTTCATTATTAAAAAACAATGTTGCATTAGATATCCATTTTGTGTCTCATTGGTACAGACATGTGGGAGCATTGTGCTGGGTCCTGGAGTATGGGTGCCGTTCAATTTTGCTAGACACTACCAACTTATGTTCTAAAGTAACTGTATCAGTTTATATCAGAGCAATGTGTAAATTCCTGTTTCCTCACATCCCTACCCCAACTTGATACCATCAACATTTTCAATTTTTGCCAGTCTTAGAGTTTTTGGATTTCTTTTTAATTCTATTTTCCTGATTAGTGTCTTCCTCTTTCATGAATTATTTGTTCACATCCTTTGCTTATTTTTCTATTCGATTGTCTTTTGTAATTGATTTAAACATTTTTTTGGATATATTCTTTGTACAGAATCTTTGTTATTATGTGTTACAAATAACTTTTCTCAATCTGGGGCATGTCCTTTCACTAGTTTAAGGTATTTTTCTTATGAAGATGTTTTAATTTTAATATATTTAAATGTGTCAATTTTTAAAGTCTTATAAAAGCTTTGTATATCTTATTTTAAAAATTCTTCTTTAGCCCCATATGAAGATGGTAGTTTTTTACAAAAAAAAATTTACAGTTTTGCTTTTCCTATTTAGATTTTTAATCTGTTTACAGTTTTTGTGTGTGTGTGTATGGTATATGGTATAAGGAAGGGACCTAATTTTCTATTTTTCTTTATGGATAGTTAGTTTTCCCAGTACTTTTAAAATATTCCATTATTTACCAGCTGATTTATGTCAACTGTGTTGTTTGCCAAGTTCTCATGTATCTTTGTTTCTAGAATCTCTATTCACTTCCTCTTATCTATTTTGATAAATATTATGGAGTAATGTTCCATGTTCAAGGTGCTGCAGAAGACATAAATCTGTATTTTACATAGCCTTTGTCATTTCTGCGGTAATAATTGAGTTTGAGAGTTCACCTATATACCAGTGGGTTTAATATAGTCCTGTGTTACATGCATGGCACAGATAATAAAGATTCATTTATTAACTTAACAAAAAGTTATTGAGCCTGTAATGTTCCCAGGAATGTGCCATGCGCTAGAAATATCTTAGAGAATAAGACGGATAGGACCCTTGGTACCATGAGTTTTTAATGCAGCAATAGGAACCCAGAGGAGGGAGACATATGGGATTAAAAATAGTTTAGAGCACCATTTTTTTTTTTTTTTTTTCAGTACGCGGGCCTCTCACTGTTGTGGCCTCTTCCGTTGCGGAGCACAGGCTCCGGACGCGCAGGCTCAGCGGCCATGGCCCACGGGCCCAGCCGCTCCGCGGCATGTGAGATCTTCCCGAACCCGTGTCCCCTGCATCGACAGGCGGACTCTCAACCACTGCGCCACCAGGGAAGCCCTAGAGCACCATTTTTAAAGTGTGGTCTTTTCACCGTAATATTAGGTATTGGGTTGGCCAAAAAGTTCGTTTGGGTGTTTCTGTAAGATGTTACGGGAAACCCCGAATGAACCTTTTGGCCAACCCAATACATTCAGCTTATTAAAAATCCAGATTTCTGGGCCCCTATCCCAGATCTACTGAATCTTTGGAGCTAAGACCCGGGAGTTTACATTTTTATCAAGCACCTTTGATGATTCTCATGAACATTAAAGGTTAAGACCCTCTTGCTTCTGGATAGAATAGAATGTGGTCTGGACTTTTGAAGAATGATGATGAGGAAGAATATAATGGAGTTAACAGGATACTTATCCTTGCCCTATTCAACATATTAATCACTAAACTGAAACGGGACACTGATGATAAATTAATCATATTTTTGATGCCAGGAGATTGGGAGGGACACGTAATGTCTTAGAAGATTGGATCCATGGTGGCAAAGAATATTGGTAGACTGATTCTAATAAAAAAGTAATGTGGAGGGCTCCCCTGGTGGCGCAGTGGTTGAGAGTCCGCCTGCCGATGAAAAGGGACACGGGTTTGTGCCCCGGTCCGGGAGGATCCCACATGCCGCGGAGCGTCTGGGCCCGTGAGCCATGGCCGCTGAGCTGGCACGTCCGGAGCACAGGCTCCGCAACGGGAGAGGCCACAACAGTGAGAGGCCCGTGTACCGCAAAAAAAAAAAAAAAGTAATGTGGAATAAAGAAGAAGTAAAGTGCTGCCTTTAGTTCAGGAGACCTAGCTTGAATGCAGCACACGTGAAAAAGACCTTATGGGTTTTAGCATCCTGCAACCTTAATAGAGTCAGTGATGCCATGTGGTTGCCCACAAAGTTAATCAGCCTTGGGCAGCCCTGACAGAACAGTGCCAACACAACAAGATGCTTGCTCTTCTGTCCTGTGCTCAAGCTGTTGTAGGGGGCAAAAGCACTGTTGCTATCAAACAGAGAGACCTTGTGCTCAGTTCCGAGTGCCATCCTCTGACAAAGTGACATGGTGCACTAAGGAAGGCAAGCAGAAAGGCGAGAGTGTGTGGAATCAGATTAAATTCATTACCTGTTACTTCAAATACCACAAATGCTAATGAAAGGTAATTTTCATTTTAACATAGGAAAGAGGTCTGTTGTTTCCTTTTTATTTCTTTAACACAAGACAAAGCTGGGGTGGGCTGTATGTGGGAGGAGGAGTGAGTTCTGTTATGAAGTCTGTTCAAGCAAAGAGGCTGGATTCATGTACTGGTAGAGGCTGGAGGTAGATTACGTTTCGTGTTGAGAGCACAGTGGTGAGAAAGAAAGCATAAAGCATATTTGAAGGATGCCAGTTATTAGTTAGGATCTTGGATCTGGAATTTGTATAGCGGACTTACAGTAAAGAAGCAGGAAAGGTCTGGAATGCCAGGGTGCTGAATCTGTTTCATTCACTAGGCAGTGGGAAACCACTAAAGGTTTTTGAGCCTTGAAATATGATCATAGAGGAGTTTTAGGAGATGTATGGGATAGATCTGGGGGCAGGGGGTAAAGCAAAGTTATTAATCTAGGAGTCTGTGAACAGGCTTCAAATTATATGAGAAATATTTGCATACATGCTTCTGTGCCTTTTCCTGGAGTGACTCAAATTGGTCCATGTTACCAAGTGATTAAACCCACTGTGGTAAGAACTGGAAGGAGACTGTTTATAAGGCTATTGTAATAAAGATAAAAGGTAGAAAAGAAAAGGAGGGAGAGAAGGTAGAGACCCTGATAGAAATCAATAGAACTTGGTACTGTGTAACCAGCGACTTGGATCTGGCCATCAAGACCAAGGTTACAGTTCCAGCTCCTCCAACTGTTAATTGTTTCACTTTGTGGGATTATTTTAACCTCTGGGAGCTTCAATTTTCTCATCTGTAAAATGAAGGCAATAACGTTCTATAGTGAGGAACAAATGATCTGCAAAGTATGTGAAAGTATTCTATAAACTGTAAAATTCAAAACGAATGTTGGCTCTTATTATGTTGGGGTTCACAAAAAGGAATCAAAGATTATTATGAGCAAAAGTAGAGAATTCAGGATGATTTTATCCCATTGACTAGTGGAGAAAAACGAGGTAGAAAACTGCAGAGAAACTGGAGAAGCCCGTCTTGCACTTAGAATTTAAGCAAAATAATTTAGTACGTTCAGTTTAGATTTTTCTCCTCTTGTTCAAGACTCCTTCTATTTCAAGTAAATCTTTCTCTGCTAAAAGTTATAGACTTAGTGGTCCAAGGCTTAAAGTATTAAAGTCGGGAAATTGCCCAAAAATTCCACTTGAGGTTGAAAACTCTGATCTGACTTTGAGTTCCCTCAAAGGTCTTTTTTTTTTTTTAGGTACATGTTTGGGTTTGTTTGTTTACATGTCATTATTCCTCCCTTGACCTGCTCCTTCTAGATTATTGCTTCAAGTCAGTAATGGTCTCATTTGTGTTTATAAACCAAGTGTCTCGTGTTTTACTTGGCACATACCAGACCCTCCTAAATGATGGATGCAGGATGAAAGTGGGGGCTCCGTTGCCAGGTAGTGGGTATATTTAAGGATGTTGGACTCTTTAGAGGATGGTGGTATTTTAA